ATTTCTAATCCTTAACCTATCTGATAATTGAAATGAACCAGGGTTGTCTGGTCTATTCTACCTAAAACATACAAATCTCAATCACAAAACTTATGCACATAAAGGGTATTAATAAAATTACTCAAAATGTATATAAAAATATATACGAGGTATTGTTAATAAAAATTATACATTATGTAATAGTTAAAGGTCTCAGGCGTGCACTTTATGTATGTATGTCTGTATAATACAAGCAAATACATCAAAGTCTACTTCAAATGTATTGAAGTAAATTGAGACCCGCTTGCAAATATAAGACAGTTATTGTAGTGTTAATGTGTTAATCGATAGCTACTTATATACGTAACGGTAATCAACTAAAGCTAAAAACTGTCTGTACTAAATTTTCTGTGTAATAATAATGCAAATAACTAAATAAAAGTGTTTTAATGGAATGTATGAAGGTACGTTGTTTCCGAGATTTGTTTGACAAAAGTCAAGCAAAAGGAGTCAAGTTCAGTGTTGCGTTGTATGTATGTAATTTATAATATGTGTTATGTTACGAGGGCTGCTACTTATGTATCCGGAAAATAAAAAATAAGCAAACATGTATGACTAAATATAGTTTTATTGTTTTTCAAAGTATTCTCCACGATGATCGATGCACTTTTGCATCCGTGTAAACCAATTTTTAAAGCACTTTTGCCACTCTGACTGAGGTATCTCCAAAACGTGTTGTTTGAAGGCGTCGACTGCATCTTCACGGGTCGAAAATCGTTGACCACGTAATTTATTCTTTACATTTGGGAATAAATAAAAATCATTCGGTGCCAAATCAGGGCTGTACGGTGGATGACCAATTAATTCCACATTTTGACCTTCCAAAAACTGAGTTGTTACGCGTGACGTATGACAGCTGGCATTGTCATGGTGAAGAATGATTCTGCGTCGCCGGTTGTTTTTTCGTATTTCTTCAAATACCTCAGGCAAACACATGGTCGTGTACCACTCCGAATTAACCGTTCTACGATTTTCTAGTGGCACTGTAGCCACATGGCCATTAATACCAAAAAAGCAGGCCACCATTTGCTTCATAGTGCTTTTTGCACGAGTTACTTTCGTAGGGTTCGGCTCATTTTGAAACACCCACACAGTTGATTGTTGTTTAGTTTCGGGATCATACGCATAAATCCAGGATTCGTCACCTGTGTAGATATTATAGACAGCCTTTGAGTCACCACGGTTATATTTTTCGAACATTTTCTTGCACCATTCGACGCGAGCATCTTTTTGATCCGTAGTTAACATGTGCGGTATCCAACGCGAACAAATTTTTTTTACAGCTAAATATTCATGCAGAATCTTATTAATGCTCGTCATACAAATGCCCAGAGTCGCCTCTATCTCGCGATATGTAACATGCCGGTCATGCATTATAAGTTTTCGCACAGCTTCAATGTTTTGTGGTACAACGACCGATTTCGGGCGACCCTCCTTAACCTCGTCCTTGAGCATACTACGTCCACAATTCAATTCACTAAACCAGTGATACACAGTGCTTTTTGATGGAGCTTCATCACCAAAAGTTAAATTGAGTTGATCTATGCACTGTTGTTGCGTTAAACCACGCCGAAAATGGTAATAAATCATGGCACGAATATTTTCACGAGTAAGTTCCATTTTCGCTGCGAGATGACATTTTAAACCCGCCAAAAACAAAAGACTAGCGACACAAGAAAAAAAAATAAAGCGGCCAGTATTTTTAAAAAACTTCAAATTTTGCTATGGAGGTTAGATATAGCGTTAAAAAAATTCGGTATTCTGGATTCCGGATACATAAGTAGCAGCCCTCGTATGGGACTTAGGTAAAAGTACAAAATAATAATAATAGTATAATTTTTTTTTAAATAATAGCAATAATAAAATAATAATAATGAAAAAAGAAAAAAAAAACGAAAAAGAAATACTCCCCAGAAAACCCTTCAGCGTCTGAGACGCGAACCGCGGGCGGTGAAATCTGAATCCGGCCGCTATCCCGCTAGACCAATGCGCACACAAGTTGAACCGGCGAAATTATGGTACAGTTTTGTATTCAGCTGTTATCTATTCAATGTTGCGACGAAGTGGGTAATAGCAAGACACTTTTTTAACGAACGGTAGCAACGACGCAACGAGTCTCCTTTTTTAAAAAACACTTTTAATCCTGTTGTTTTGATTAATTTCACAACACTCACTGATTTTGCAGAAATATATCACGAAATTTTATTATTTATTACTAAAATTTAAAGTCATACACAAACAGAGAAAATTTTGTAGCCGATATTTACGCACTAAAATTCCTTAAAGTACTAGATATTTCACGATGATAATAGTTTTCCTGGCGAATTGAACAACTATGAACACTTATATAAACATTAAGAACTGGAAAACTTATAGTAGCTATTTTTTTTAAATAAATTAACACAGAGCGATGTTCGTTAGGCGAATGCAGCGCCCTCCCTCGAGGAGAGAATGGTTTTGATACGTAGTGGCTGACGCCACTCATAGGCTGACGCCACTCATAGACTGAGGACCAGTGGCTATATTTCGCGGAATTGACATGAATACGTTACTCTGAGGTCTATAATTTGGCGGGGGTGCACTAAATATCTACTGTGTCCGGGATGGTACTCTAAACTGGAGTACATCTGGTTTCCAGATGGGCTGTGGAGCCTGTATCATTTGACGTGATGATCCAGGCATAATCATTTGACGTGGAGACTGCATAGTGACAGGGAATGGCATGGGAGGCCTAAAGCCATAGGTAAATTTTGATGTGCTACCTTGTGGATGCGACAACTGCGTCTTTTTGTCAGGAAGGTGCTCATTACGCTGCTGCTGTAGACACAACGTGTTCATCTCCTCGTGTACAAATTCTAGAGCCTTTTCGATTGTGTCAGGTCGCATGCAACGAATACGAGACCCCAACGGGTCGCGGAGACCACGCAAATAAGATTGAAGGGTTAACTTTTTGTACAACGAACGTTTGGACTCAATGGTACTCGCGATCGTTTCATGCAGGCTGACATAAGTCATGATTGTACTAAAAAGGTTTTGGCACTTCTCATAGAATTCCTGAGGGCTAAGTGATCCTTGATTCAATAGTGCGAGATCGTTATACAGCGAAGTTTCTTCTCGCTGGTTGGCAAAGTTATTGACCAAGGCAGATCGAATGCCTTCCCAGGTGTCTGGTATTCCGTTCCAATTTATAAGACGAGCGGCAGCTAAGTTACTTAACTCATAGCCAGGCTCAGCTTTCATATATTGATACACTAATTGATCACATAGTTTTATAAACCTAGTGAGCACATTCGGGTTGCCGTCAAATTCGGGAACTAACCGAAGGGCTTTGAATATATGATCAACAATGGCGTCCGTCAATTTTACGGTATCTAACTTTGTTATAACTATTCTATCACTAGTATTATCTATCGATAAATCTCTGTAAGCATCGTGGGAATTAATACGCCTACTATTATGTAACCTAGGGGTCCGAGATTGCCTTGGATGGCAAATCTTGGGAATTGCAGGAAAATCTTATATGAGAACAGAGAAAGGAAACAACTCTTGGTAGAAAATTAAAGTACTCACACATGCGCATTGTGGTATCTACGAGATCGATTTCTGGATCATTCCTGGACAGCGGCTCCCTTGTAGATTCGGATTCTCGGTAGCGGTGCTTGGTAGCTACCCGGGTAGATAGCGAACGTGACGTGTAGAAGTTTGATGCCCGCTCGCGAACCGGCTTGCGAGAATCCTACCGACTGCGCCAATTAAGAGAAGCGCGTCCAAGAGTTGCAAAAAAAATGCAACTTTCTTTGAAATCAATTTAATTTAAAATAAAAATTACAATAAAATTATTAAACTAAAATTATGTGTCTAATGATCGACGTTAGAATCAAAAGTGACGAAGGCACACGTCCGGTTTCCGAAGGTGGCTTGTGCTGTCGTCACGTTCCGCTGCATCGGCGTCCCTCCCAAAAGTATCGAACATTTTTTTTGGGAGTGTTGCCGAACGGCGGGAAGCGCTCCGCTTGGCAACAGAAAGTGGTGGGGGGATCTAGCCGATACAGCGCGACCGGTCCCAGTTGGCTCCGAGCACCTGGAGCGGCAGGACGTGCGTTCGCGTAGAGCTCTAAACGACACCTCGTCGAAGTTTTTAAAAGTAGCGCGATGACGGATCCGTTAGAACAGAGGTACGCAGTGAAATTTTGTGTTCTACTCGGCAAAAATACTGTGGAAACCAACGAGATGATTAAACAGGCCTTCAAGGACAAAGCCATGTCCGAATCCTCGGTCAGGAAGTGGCACAAGATGTTCCGTGACGGAAGGGAAGAGGTGACCGACGAAGCCCGCTGGTCCCGCAGCCTCCCTACAGTCCTGACGTCGCCCCGGCAGACTTCTTCTTGTTTCCCAGCATCAAGTCGAAGCTCAAAGGCAAGCATTGGGGCACAATTAAGGACATCCAAGAAGCTACGACGAGGGCGCTGAAGGACCTACCCGTTGACGTCTTCCAGGGGGCCTTCCGGGCATGGAAAACTCGCCTACAAAAGTGCATCGATGCTGAAGGGTGTTATTTTGAAGAGTACTAATGTATGGTACCGATAAGTTCAATAAAAGTATTTTTCCTGAAAAATGTTCGATACTTTTGGGACGGACCAGATATTTCACGATGATAATAGTTTTCTTGGAGAATTGAACAACTATGAACACTTATATAAACATTAAGAACTGGAAAACTTATAGTAGCTATTTTTTTTAAAATAAATTAACACAGAGCGATGTTCGTTAGGCGAATGCAGCGCCCTCTCTCCAAAGGAATTTTTTCTGAGTGTTCGATCTTTGTATTAATAATTATAACAAACTAGTGGAGTAATTTCACAAGAAATAATTGAATATCATTTCAATAAAAATTTGAAATACAGTATAATATTTATAAATCACAGTACAAAAGCTCCAAATTATTAAAATCATCATTCCAGATTCTCATGATTGGATGACGCCGCGTGGATCGATATCTTCCGTTATGTCGACTGGTTTGCAAAACTTTGTTTACAATGCCGATGTAGATTCGGAGGAAGAAAAGGAAGACGAAGAGGTATTAAAATAAAAAAACAGTTTGTGTATACATATTTGTTATATGCAATTTATATTCTGAAATAATAATAACAACTCACAATTATTAAATTACAGGCGCATGCACATTTGAACTCTTAATTGACTACTTATCATAGAGTTCTTTTGGCTTGGTCTTTTGGTTCTAGTAAGGTTACGTTAATTTTTCAGGAAGTCAAATCAGTCAGTGACTGGCAACTCCTCAAACTGAATGCTCCCGAGTGGCCTTATTTAGTCATTGGGTCAATTGCTGCCTTTTTACAAGGAGCGTGTTTCCCTGCGTTCGCGCTCTTATTCGGTTACACCGCTGGGGTACGATTATTTTGAAATCTTACTCTATTCGTCGTCCAGGAAGCCTTTACGTCCTATTTAGTGACCTATACTGAGAAGTCCATGAAGTCCAATTTCAATTGTAGTCATTGTAAATAGGAGTTAATTTTTACAGATGAAAATCAAAAGTTAAGCTCTGGCCACACCGAGAACGAAGCGAAACTAACTTAACTTAGCAGACGTAGTTGCATGCAAAGCAAAGCTAAGAAAATACTAATGCTACACTACGGATACGTGCGGGGGTGAACGGTTGCAGAAGGGAAAATATGTCATAGCTTACCGGGACCATTATTCGCGGTGTGAACCGAAGTATGAATAGATGCCCCGGCTACGTAAGCTAAGCTAAGTTAGCTTAGTTTCGTTCTCGGTGTGGCCTGCGCTTTAGTCATAGCTAGTTAATAAACATAAAAACAAAACAAAGAAAATATTCAGAACTGAACTTATAGATATTGTACAAGATCTTATATGGTGGAATATAAACGTATTTACAACTGTACTCACTAAGACATTCTTTCAAATAAATATGTTTTTCAGATTTATGTATTAACAAACTATGATGCTATAAGGCACCAGGCAGATTTGTATGCTGGCATGTTCCTTGTCGTAGCGGGCGTAGCTGGGGCAACAATGTGCATACAAAGTTTTACATTTACGACCGCGGGGCTGAAAATGACTTCCAGACTGAGACATCAGTATTTCGCTAGTCTTCTAAAGCAGGTAATTTTAGTATACGTCGTCAACTTCAGGCTTATGAACTGTAACTTTAGGAAAAAGAAAGCGAGAAAACTATTGGTTTCTATTGCTTTCGACGACTATGCAGTTCGTAGTGGTTCAATACAACGAAATGGATTAGGATATTGCACCCAAACTTATTTTCGCATAAATATATTTTCGTTACAGTAGCTACAGACAACTACCTATTTTGCGAACAGGTAAATTTATTTAACTGGCACATTTATTTACTTGCAGGAGATAGGATTCTTCGATAAGGAATCTAATACAGTGGGTGCGATGTGTGCACGATTAAGTGGCGATGCCGCCGAGGTCCAGGGCGCCACGGGGCTGCGCATCGGCCTAATCTTGCAGGGTTTTAGCTCCGTATTTGTTGGCTTCCTCATGGCCATAAGCTACAACTGGAAACTCACCCTTGTCGGAGTAGCTTTCTTGCCTCTGGTTAGTAAAACTTAAACACGCACATAAACTGTACGCGTTACCATTGACAAGCATAAAGTTTCTCACGATGTCTATTATTCTTTCAGATGGTAGGTAGCATCTGGCTGGAGGGTATAGTGTCTCAACAGTCGCAAGCTAACGAGCGAGATGCTATGGAATCAGCAACATCAGTCGCCACTGAGGCGATCGTTAGCATTAGAACCGTTCAGAGTTTAGGTAAGCTTTGTGTTGAGTGCAGAAGCACGTAATGCCGCAAGTGGAGATTTTTCCACGTCACTATATTAGTAGCATGTTTTAAAATTACACAGGTGTCGAGAAGGTATTCCTGCAGAAGTTCGAGGAATCTCTGAAATTGTCATGTGCAGCTGTCGCCAAAAAGACGCGGTGGCGCGGTTTGGTGCTAGGTCTGGGCGTCTACGTGCCCTTCTTGTCATACAGTAGCGCAACTATATACGGCGCCACTCTTGTGGCCTATGAAGGACTGGAATACAAAGTTGTGATGCTGTGAGTAAAATTCCATCGATGATATTAGACTCAATGTCGTTTTCATATTACGAAGAACATGGTGTTTCAGAGTAAACGAAGCAATAATGTATGGCGCGTACATGCTGGGTCAGTCGTTGGTGTACGCACCCAGTTTCAACTCAGCCAAAGCTTGTGGCGCCCGTATCCTATCCGTTATCAATAGGGAGCCCAAAATTAAGACCGAAAATGGGGTGAAGGATAAGAAAGACTGGGTAAGTTTGACAAGTATTTTTAGTCTATTAAGCTATAATTAGTTTAGCGTAGAGTTTACAAAGTCATAAAACCCGGTGAAATCGGGAAACGTATTTACGCAATGTTGATTTTGCCCATCTATACTGGTTGTAAATTTGAGACGGGTCAGCAAGGCCAGCCACCATAATCGTTTTAGTTACAGGAAAACGGTTCTAGAAGACTGTCCATGAATTTTGAAAATATTTTGATTGACATTCACAGATTTTGGAAAAATGGTACAGTCAGCAAGATAACAGGCAATTTTTACAAAACTTTTTTTTTATGCCGTTCGATCCGGTCTCTGTTCAATAGTCTCTATGGGACCAACTGTGGTAAGAGTACTCGAAATGTCAGAAATCGCAAAAAACTTTTTACCATACATTTTGTAGGGACATATTTAGTAATCAGTTATTCTAGGTACTTAAGGAAACCAACAAATTGACAACGTATTATGTATTAGTTAAATGAAATTTACAAAAAAAATACAACAGTGTTCAAAAATTGAAAGACGCACTTGCAGCAATTTTCAATGGAATCCATCCGAGCAAAATTTCAGCCGCTAATTTGCTCTTTGCGGAAGAGAGCAAATCGATGCATCCGCCAAGGCGGCAATAAATTCGAGCACTTACTATCATACATTTTTATGTTATTTTGCTTTTTGTTATTGTTTTTATTTTGAAATACATAATACGTTGTCAATTTGTTAGTTTCCTTAACTACCTACAATAACTGATTACTAAATATGGGACATATTATGTACTAAATGTATGGTAAAAAGTTTTTTGCGATTTCTGACATTTCGAGTACTCTTACCTCAGCTGATCCCATACAGACTATTGATCCTTAACAGAGACCGGATTGACTGGCATAAAAAAAAAGTTTTGTAAAAATTGCCTTTTATCTTGCTGACTGTACCATTTTTCCAAAATCTGTGAATGCCAATCAAAATATTTTCAAAATTCATGATTAGTCTTCTAGAACCGTTTTGCTGTAACTACAACGATGAAGGTGACTGGCCTTGCTGCCCCGTCTCAAATTTACACCTGTATATACTGAAGTAAATATCTTTCCTAATGATTCTACCTATAGCGAAGACGCGATATAACGGAACTTAATGATATTTTGAGTAGGTATAAAAAATAAAACACGTCTACAGAATGATTTGCTGATGCTATAGGAATCTACCAAAAAAATCTAGGTATACATCCTATGTACATGTATAGCTTATAGCTCAATTCGTCTGTATTTGTGTGTATGTTACGCGATTACTCCGACATGTGGGAACCGATTTCGATGATTTGTTGTGCAAATGTACCCCCATTTCCCCATCTCGTAGTTTGCCACCCTTAAAGGTGCAATATTTTCTTCAAATTTAAATGGGACCAATACTGAGGTACCCTTTTTTCAAGAAAAAAGAACCATCAGAATCGGTTTATTTAGTTATCGCGTAACATACACACAAAAAATATATAGGTACAGTTGAGAACCTCCTCATTTTTTTATTAAGTCAGTTAAAAATGATTGTAACCTAACATTTGTAAGTCAATGTAACCTAAAGTAAATTTAAACAAAATCTATGCATTGTAGTCATTGACTTACAAATAAATGGACGACGGGTCTAATACAAAAACCACGAAAAAAATGTCCCAAGTCAACCTATTCGAAATTTAAATTGTAATGTCATCGCAGTATCGCGCTGTCAGTAGAACAAATGAAGACTAAAGCGGAGATAGCGCTCTGTATACGATTTTAGCGCCTTACAAGTGCGGACACTTTTTAGCGCGGACCCGACGTCCATATAATTGTAAGTCAATGATTGTAGTCTTTGGTAAATTTACGTTCTTCTTATAACCAGCAGTGTGACGTAACTACATAAAAGAACTATGTTATATTATTATTAGGCAGCAACGGGCAACTTTAACATAAAAGAGGTAGAGTTCAGCTATCCAACTCGTCCACACCAGATGGTCCTTAAGGGAATAGACTTAAAGGTGGACGCCGGCAAAACAGTAGCTTTGGTAGGCTCCTCAGGTTGCGGGAAATCCACCATTCTACAGCTGTTGCAACGTTTTTACGACCCTGATACTGGCAATATCGTAAGTATTTACATCTTTATTTATTGTTGACATTGATAGATAGATTCTTGACACGCATTTGACGTTAATTCTTCAAAACAGCCTCCAATCGATGACATAACCATAATCCAGTAATTGAATTGAACTAAGGCTTTCAACCTACATTAAAATTACTTTATTCTTGCGTATATATTAATCTATGGAATAATTGTTGCAATTCGTTTTTTACAATTGGAGTATTTGACGTTCAGAGTTACCATTATTGCACAAGCCAAAAAATACTATCACCATGGGCCAAATATTAGGAACGTTATCGACTTTTGATATTGCTTTAAAACAAGATGATAAGCCCACATTCAAGCACGACGCTGGTTTTGAATACACAAGAAAACAACGAGAATATAATGCATGTGAGCTCCATTTGTATTCGGCGAGGATTCCTATGAAATACAGAGACTACTGCGTGGATCGGCTGTTGGATTATCAGAGTTGCCGATATGTGAATTGGCCATTCGTATTTAAGTGTCACCACGAAAAAACATGCGTATCTCGAATGCGAACAAAAAGACTATGTTCTCAGAATGAAGGAATTCGAAAGAGAGAGAAGACTTAGGGAAAGGGAAATCCGAGTGAGGGCTAGACAAGTGTGTTAACGAGTAGCATAAAATATTTGTTTGTAAACCGTTGTACCTAATATTTTACACATAGCTAAATTTATTGAATAATTAAAAATATACTAAGCTTCTAACGCTGCGCTGTTTGTAAATTTTGTAATTAAGTAGTTAAACGCAATTCTAATCCTATTATCCTATTGCTTCCATACACGCTCATACTTTTTAAATTGTTCCTTTGTAATGTCTGTAACAATAGATATAGTATAATTTCCGACTATCTTTGTTAACGAATATCCTATTTTACCATTTATGCTTTCATTCGATAGTAACATTAATAACATTTTATAGGGCGCAATTCGTTGTCTACGTTGAACGTGTCGGCCACAATCAGTGACATGTCAGATAACACGTGTTTGTAACGTATTTAAGTGTATAGGATACTAAATCTTTGGTCCGAACTCAACCTCCCAACACTTAAGACTCGCATCCTTCTCCTCTGAAAATTATCTACAATACTGAACTTGTGATGTTACTGAAGTTTACCTTTTTCAAAAATTCCAACTAGCTAATAGGATTTGCCAACAGCCTCTGTGAACATTCTACTTTCTATGTAGCTCAAGTAGCTACGAAATCCTTAAAAATTCCAATTATCTATTTTCTCCATAAGAACATACCTATGACCCTCATCTTTAAACACTTGTGTTAAACGTTCTGTGTGTATACCACCGTGACAAAGTAGATAACTTAGATGTCGTGAATTAGCCTAAAAAGTACGAAAAAAAAAAACAAATTTAGTCGCTTCAAAAATTATGAGAGGTTTCTTTTTGTCCACAAAGATATAAGCTTATTACGCCGGCGTAAAAAATACGATTTAAGAGCAAATATGTTGAATATAATATCATTACCCAGGAATTAGATGGACGCGATACGCGTAACAACTTAACCCTGTCGCGCCTACGGCGGCAGCTGGGTGTGGTGCAGCAGGAACCAGTATTGTTCGACCGCACGCTAGCCGAGAACATCGCGTACGGCGACAACAACCGTAAAGTGACCATGCACGAGATCGTGGCCTCTGCCAAGGCCGCAAACATCCACAACTTCATCGTGTCTTTGCCCAAAGTGAGTAGAAGAGCAAGTGCAGCCGTTGCACGTCGCAGTGACGCAGTGGTAAGACACGGGATGTTGCAGGGCTACGAGACCAACCTGGGCGCCAGTGGTGCGCAACTGTCGGGCGGGCAGAAGCAGCGCGTGTGTATAGCGCGTGCTCTAGTCCGTGCGCCAAGACTTCTGCTGTTAGACGAGGCCACTTCTGCACTCGACGCCAACAGCGAGCGGGTCGGTACCATCGCACAAGCACAACCACTGTCTTCGGGATACACTACACTTTTCGACATGGAATCGCATTAAGCCGGTCAGAAAAAGCTCTTCAGAATCTGCTTACTGCAAATTTCCGATCGCGTCCTTACGCAGCCGATGACAGCTGATCAGCGGCATTGACACGCGAACGGCCGCATCGATACCGGAACTGCCGCGTCGACGCACGAACGGCCATGTCGATTCGCGAACGGCCGCGTCGACACCTTAACGGTAACGTCAACGCTCAAAGAACAGCATCGGTGCCCGATTGACCGCGTACATTGCGAATTAGCTTAATGCAACAAGTGTGGTAAAACATGATCACCTCAAACCAATTCCCCGTTTGGTAAATATGATGACTCCCTTCGTTGTGACACAATCTATTTACCCTACATATGTTTGCAGGCCGTGTCTGAAGCTTTGGAAAAAGCTGCCAAAGGACGAACGTGCATTACCATCGCCCATCGTCTATCTACTATAAAGGATTCCGATCTAATCTGCGTGTTAGATAAAGGTAAAAAACTTTGTAGTCAATTAGGTAGTATTTGCAGTCTAGAAAAATTAAAATGTGAAAACTAATATTGTTTTGTTTCAGGAAAAATTGTGGAGCGGGGTACTCACACTGAACTACTTAATTTGAAGGGACAGTACTGGCGCATGTGTAAAGGCCAACATGTCGCCTGAATGTCAACGCAATATTGTAATAACTCAGCCGTATGAAACGAGCCGCGTATAACAAATGAATTTCGTTTTCAAAACAAAAACACGAATAGGTAGTAAGTAGTCGGTAATTACTAATACAAGTTGTTGTAGTACATGTATAATATATGTAATTAATAATATAATATAAACAACAAAATAAAGACCATTTCGTTTATTATACTCCAATTTGTTTCCACAATTGCATGAACACACGACCAACCACAGGTCACGGGTAACACTTTGTGCGATAGTCTTAAACTGTAGAGCAAGGTGTACCTACGCTACGCTTGATTTGCCATTGTTGCATAATGGTGTTGTTTATGTTCTACTCACAATATTACTTCGTGCACCTTCCATTTTTGGCAGTACCCTGTATCCTTTGAATTATATTTTTTCTCTAAGTGCTTTAATGAGAGACACCAACAACCCATGACCTACGCTTATCAATAAAATATGTACAGTAATTAATAATAACTGTTATAATATCAATGGTTAGTTATTTGGCATGGCATATCTTAATATAACTAAAATCTGGTATTGTATGGCAAGTATGGATGCATCAAACTTACAATAATAGGAAAGGCGACTGCGCATGTGCCCTTCGATATATTTTTTAAATTATTCATTAATACATAACAAAGCACAGTTTAAAATTTTAAGACGAAACAGAAAGTAGCGCAACGCCCGCGCATCCTGTATAATAAACAAAAAACATTGGACGACCAAATTCAGTTAGTACCCTAACTTTTTTTGTTTGGGTCGTAAACTATTTTTTCCGTTTTATCACGAAGACAAGAGTTATAGATATGTTAATTGTAAGAGAAATACAGCGGGCTCCATTACTCTTATCCTATCCAATTACTCAAGTTTGATAAAAATATGCGCAGAGATCGCTACCAATATCGACATACAATTTTACATATACAAACATTTCATTTACTAACTGAAATATATACACCACGATGACGTTCTCGTCTTTGATATAAAGAGAATAGTACAAAAATAAGAGGTTGTATCACAATGGCTCCAAATTCTATACTTTGCTAAATTTAGCCAATCATAAAAAATAATAGATTGTTACAGTTGTACAGGAATGGAAATTAACTATATGCGTTCATTAATTTAAAAGTAAACGTCGACTTATCGATATTCATCGCGCGCATTGGATTGCGTCCGCTGGGTTCCGAGGACTTTATGGTCGCGTCGAAAAATGCGAGGTTTGTGAGCGGATGTCGTTATTCGTATTTCTGGTCCACATTATACTCAAGCCACTAAACGTAACAACCAGTCGCAGCTACTGGTAGCTGGATGCTACTAACGTAGCTAAAAATCGTCCAACTCCTCGAATCCTACGTCATTGTTATCAGCGTTTGATATGAAAACAGGACATACAAAGACAACTTTATTTTGAACTTTGAATTTATTTTGATTGACAGGACACGATTTTTATATTTAAAACTTAATACGAGTCATAAAGATCCTATAGAAGTCGCTGTATGTTTATTTCTTGCTAAAACAAAAAAAATGTTGCCCGCTAAGCTTTAATAAAATTCCTTATACGGGGCGGGTGGCGGACATAAGCAGCAAGCACGGGCTACTCCCGCAGCTTGTGGCGGCCACTCTCACGCTGTTTGCGCCGATACCATATAAAATGTATGAAAAATCTCGTCCGTAACTTGTGGTCGCGTTTAGTGATCCAGTGGGCGGACGGCCTAATATCGTATTCATAGAACTTCATGCAATATTCGCATTAGCCGATCCTTTGCAACTGTAGTCGTTAGTGTATACCGAGCGATGCGTAAGGACAAGTCGACGTTTACCTTAACTGATAAGGTTGTTTTTGACAAACGTACGACTGAATTATGAAGTTTATGCATGAAGATATTATCTACAAAAATAATCACCATACATATAGGTAAACCACCGTAAACTTCGCCCTTCTGATGGTTTATGGAACGCGAGGCGGGTATGCTTAGACTAATTTTAATTGTTTTATATATTTGACAAATATAACTGTCGGCTGTCTGTTTCAGTTTTTGCGACGTAACGTTGGCGTTGTATGTTTCAAAATAGCAGATACCGAAAAAACAAAACGCACATTCTAACTTTCACGTCAATCCATGACAGCGGATGGCAACGAACTAGCTAATTAATCGAGTTTACGGCGGTCTATATAATAAAATACTATCTGTTACCGATAACATGCGAAGTGCTGTTTGACGATCTACTTTCTAATAAATATACACACGACATTAATACACCTATTGATGTGATATATATAATTACATACATAGATATATGTACTTCTACACTCGCGATTATGGTAAGCGCAAGTACATCCGCACTTACGCATTACACCTGTGTACATCTAACATCAATTCGATCGGGAATCATATACCTATACATATATCACAAGTAATATTAATTATTTTGCGGAAACATTGGCTCCCAGCTCCATTCTTTTAAATAATTTGCTTATTTTATATTTATATTATGTATTTCAAATTTCCATATTTCTCTTACAAATTAAACAACATTAGAAATAAAACACAAAGTGTGACACATATTTTACATACACACACATACTACCAGGCCTCCTACTGGGGCAGGCAGAGACTATGGTACTCCACCGGCTACACACCTGACACTTATACTTTTACCAGGCCTTTTTTTTCAGGACATCTCAATCAGGTTCAGATATGACACATTAATTTTAGTAAAGTAATATGTACTTAGTAATAAACAACAGACGTGCTCAAAAATAGCTGTGGTTTATCAACTATAAAACGCTACCCTAACCCCAACGAGAAAAGCTTTTAAAAATCTTTTATTACAGATTTCAACAGGATTTGGTCAATTTATTATCTTCAAAATTATATGAAACGAAAATAATGTTACGAGGACTACGTAACTTAATACAACTGAATCCGTCCTATATATCTTATAGTGTGTGTAGGCCTATCGCAACTGAAAACATGCATATTGTCCAGCTCAATAATGTACGCAATCGAAGGCTTAAGGCCTTTACATAATTATTATTTTATTGAAATAGCTGCTTCATTAGTTATGGTTCAATTCGCCCCTGTTGAGGACGCCTCTCAAATTATATTGTAGCTAAGAGAGCTGTTGAGAAGACGTTGTTTTTCGTGCACATTTTGCCTGTTTAGTCATTATCGCTATTAAATTAAAGTATTTATGGCAAAAAAATTCTACTTAAATAAATATAACATAATTCCTACACAAAGTGTTAATAATATGTCTAACATATAAATAATAACAATACAATAAAATTTCAGTTCAATTCATGACCTTTAAAACATTTAAAATAAAATAAAATATATTTGTATAATAACACGTTCACGCTACGAGACAATTTAAAAATTTAAAAAAAACGCGGCAAGAACATTGGCGATCTTTACGACAACAAGACCGCGTACTAGGTACGTGACAACGTTGCTCGCACTCGCTAAACAAGCAGGACTATTAATATACTGAAAATTTAATTTATACTTAAGACTTCATCTTAAAAATATTGTGAATAAATCTAAATATTTTGATTGCTATTACTTCAGAAAAAATACCAGAGCTCAGTATACATAACGACAAGGGGACATATTTGGTGTAGTGTAAGTATTATACTTTAAGATTCATTAAAACTAGTCATCATGGCTACGTGATAAATGCCAGATATTTATGTTATTTAGTAGATTACTATTTACTTAAACCTTACACCTTGTTTCATAGTTATAAACAGGGTGTCGCTGACCGACTGATACTAAAAAAATGAGGAAAACGGGGATTTCATAACTTCATTGCAAATAAGTTTAGATGTTTATAATGGGCATATTGTCGTCTTTTACTTTTTTTACTCTTACATTACTATTTCTCATTTATATGCTATATTGTTAGTTTATTTAAATACTTTTTTAATCATTTCGTCGTTTTCGGTTTTTAAATGTCAAAAACATGCCAAAAATCATCAAAAACAACATCAAGTCAGTAATGTCTGATAGTACTTGACATCACACTACAAGCACAGGCACAGATAATGCGGCCGCGCTTGCTACTTGAGGTCAAGTCCAATAGATAATTTTGAACACAGATTTTATTGACGATTTATAAGTAGGTCACACAAAGTTACACTATTTTTCTTGAACTTTTCTATTATTTGTTTACTTTTATTATTAACCTATTTTCAGAGATGCGCTGAAGTCCCGTTTTACAAATTTCTTTGGGAACCCTCGGTCACTGACGCCTTGCCTATTTTATATTAATGGTTCAATTAATTGAAGCTATCAGCGCAAAAGTGGTGTAACCCATCATTTTTTTACAATATTACTTTAAATGATACTAAAGTAGATAATTGCTGTTTTCATGTATAAAAAAAATATAATTGAATTACTTTTATACATGAAAATAACTACCAAATATAAAGTAATTATGTACTTTATCATTTATAGTAATATTGTAGAAAAAAAAATTAAAGTGGGGTACGCCCAAAGATTTAGTAAGTATATAGGTAAAATCTATGGGTACACCACTTTTACTAGCCTCAATTCGCCAGAACATGTTAACCAATCGGTTAGCCATTATATTAGCGAAATAGTTTTGGACGTAATTAACATATTAGGCAACTTCATTTCAAGTTACGTCAGGCAAAAAGGGGGAAAGTATATAGATGTGTAATTTTTTGTGAGCCTTACGTTTTTCGGTCATAATATTTTATGCCTGCCAATAAAAAAAACTGATTTATGACTATTGTAACATAAATTATTTAGTGTACCTAACTTAAATACAAAGAAATTTTTATTTAGGGACGTTACAATCGTTTTCGGGGACATTTTACTCGCCTCTGGCAACACTGATGAAAGAGGTGTGAAACAGATTATGAGTTCCGACAGCTAATCTTGCGAATACATAATCGTTCATTCGAACATTAGCATTCACTTCGATTATCGGCTAACATGTTCATCAACGAATGGCACCTGCATCATCTTACTCATCTCATACATGCACGTAAATTATGTTATGATTTAATGACATTTACTTCTATTTAGTAATCACGATCATATAATGTTTCGCTATTTACAATATACTGTAAACAAAAATAGGTTGCAATTTACAATATTATTCACAATTTAGGAGATCAAAAACCATTATGATATTAAAAACTTGACTTCTTGCGAAACAAAGAAATGAATGGCACATACACAATACATACGCTTTTATATCTAACTGCTTCAATAACAGTATATTCGTAAGTGTAAATAAACTCTCGATTTCATCGCTATTCTCAAATAATGATAAAAAATAATATCAACAACTATACATTAGCACATAAAATATTTCAAAACGGCATTTATCTCGTTTTGTATTTTTGTAAATCGCACAGCCTTTTTAAAAAACAAAAATATAACGAAAATCCGTAACTAACTTCACAATCACACATAAATTCATCATATATACATGTTAGGATCTTGACAGGTACAATAAAGATTTACGATTGTGTAATGTATACACACTATAAAATAAATCAACTTATGTACTACAAAAAATATTTAGCTGAGCATAAGAGCTTAAATGTACATTTGGATGCCTCAATCCAAACATCTTCTTTGAAAACCCTAATAGCTTAGTAGCTTAGTTAAACAAAATCACCTGTAATGACAAGTCCTATATTTTTCATGCTATTATTATTTCTATATTAATATAGAAAGTGTTTCAGGAAATTTACGACGCCAATAAAAATTACCCCAAATACATAGGTATTTTAATTACTTGGAAAGTTTGTCACAAATCTTCTTTCAATTGATTTTTGCTTCACACAAATCATCAGAATTTAATTGTGTTCCATAATATTTTAATGAGAGCTTTTTGACACATTCCATATATATTATAGTTGAATTTTATCATGTAAATGAAGTTTAAAGACAAATATAACATTTAAAAATACTATTTGCGAAGCATTGCTACTTCTCACCATACAAAAGTGATATAAGTAGGCAATACTATTTTACTATCGCCAGCTATCTTCGCGTATTGCACATAAATTGTAGGCATTGCACGTATATGTTATTAATGTAAATTGAAGCAACAAAACAATGCACTGATGATAAATAACAAAGTCCGTGAGTCACCCGACAAAAATGATTCGTAATTTCTTATTAATACGTACAATTTCGCGTTGCATGCTGCCGACGTTTCTTCTAGCAGCAATTTACATTATTAATCGTAGACTTATTGAGGCATGTGTTGATGATGGTTCGAGCTGTGCGGCGGCTGGTGCTGTGGCGGGTAACTGACGATGCCAGCGCGCTGAGCAGTTCCGTCATATATTTGTGCTGGCATACGTTGGTTTTGTTGCATCTCTTCGGGACTCACGAACGGATTTTGCGCCTGAAAAATTGAAAGATATGGTTTGACACCCATGCAAACATTTCATACTCTATACAATTCTATAATATGTATTACTAATATACATATATTAAATTCATTATTTATTAAACCCTTTGTGAATAAGGAGTATGTATGTATGTATATATATATATATATATATATATATATACACATATATATATATATCGCACCCTTAGTAATATAAGGGCACAATCCAAAAAAAGTAGATTTTTGGGAAATCGCGTATTAAGATTCTGGATTCGTACATTACACCTATTTTTTCAAATAATATGCTTATTATTTAAGTTATAAATATGAAATTTGGCAGATTTGTTCTTTGATAAATGTATTATAAATAGCAATAAAAAAAAATAATATAAATAAATTCCATAAGTTTCAAGCAAGTTAAAAAAACACTTTCAAGTTACACCCATATAGTACAAAAAATATAACAGAAATATGGAGCTATATAAGTTTGATCCCATTTATTATTTAAGTCCCTATCAATTCCCAAACCCAAAAATCTACTTTTTTTGGATTGTGCCCTTATATTACTAAGGGTGCGATATATACA